TCCTCCGACTCGGACACCGGCGGAGCCTCCCCGCCCCCGCGGAAGAAACCCCGAGCCTCGGCGGCGGAGGGAGCAGGAGAGCCCGGGGCTTCGGCAGGCAGAGCAGGCCTCTCCCCTCCGTCCTCGTCGTCCTCATCGTCGTCCTCCTCCTCCTCCTCCGTGGTGGTAGTGGTGGGACTCCCCCCGGCTGCTGCCCCTTCCGCCGCCGCTGCCGTCCCCCATCGAAGTAGCGGCCACAGCCTGGTCAGCGGCAGCATCATGCAGGCCAACGGGGCAGGAGGAGGAGGAGGAGGTGGTGGCGGCGGCGGTGGAGGAGGAGGGGGCGGCGGGGGCCAGGGACAGACCCAGGAACTCGCCTGCCTGTCGGCCCAGAATGGGGAGTCGTCCCCCTCGTCGTCGTCGTCCGCGGGGGACATGGCCCACGCCAATGGGCTCCTGCCTTCAGCCCCCTCCGCCGCCAACAACAATAGCAACAGCCTGAATGTCAATAACGGGGTCCCCGGCGGTGCGGCCGCCGCAGCCTCCGCCACCGTCGCAGCCGCCTCCGCCACCACCGCCGCCTCCTCTTCCTTGGCCACCCCAGAACTGGGCAGCAGTCTCAAGAAGAAGAAGCGGCTTTCCCAGTCAGATGAGGATGTGATTAGGCTAATAGGACAGCACTTGAATGGCTTAGGGCTCAAGTAAGTATCCTTTACAGGTAGCCGATGATGGACAGACTGAGGGACAGAGGTTGGAGAGTGGGGGATGAGGCTGGAAAGAGCTTAGTCAAGGGAGAATTACTGCTGGCCACGCGGGGCCCAGCACCTAAGAAGACGCAGGCAGGCCCACCAGGGACGAGGAGCTGACCTGAGGGAAATAAGTGGAAATCAATCAGTCTGACAAATTGTGAGACCAGACAAACGGGTGGGGAGAGGGCGGTAATAGAAACCAAAAGAATTACCCCTCCCCACACACCTTCAGAGCTAAACTGTCTGTCAATAAAGACAGATGCAGGAGAGAGTGTCTGTGTGTGTGTTGGGGGAGGGGTTGGATTAGAGCTGGTGGAAATAATGAACCTTGGAGGATTTGTTTTTCAAGTATATCTTAGAGGCATCTTTGTGGGACACCTCTCCACCCCCAACCATGACATACAACAGCACAGACAGCTACCAACCAGGAAAGACAATCACCCACAAGTGTTTATGGGAACTGAGGGGCTGGGATAATTTGGAAAAAAGGTTGTTGAATAAATCTGGTGGGAATAATGAACTAAGATACCATATTTATGTCATTTAAAGGCCTTTTTCTGTGCAAGAGGCCTAGCAGTAGTCTGAAATCCTGATTTAATACTAAGATGATTGTCTCTGAAAAGAGGTCATCTGATCTGGTGAATGATTTGTTTTCAAGTACAATTTAGGTGGCCTTGTATACCTAAAAAAGGGTGAAAGGCCCCAAAGTATCGTTTTGTACACACACAAAGAAAATCTCAGGGTGGAGGGTAAGGATTCCATGGAGGAGGTAGATGAGCCAGAACCGTAATGAGACTAAAAGGAGGAAGAATGCAACAGTCAAGAGTTTTCTAGTTTCAAAGCTTAAAATGAGCTATTAGACTAGCCAATGTGTAGTTTTGGATTTATGAATTTGTGTTTTGGGAGAAAACAGCACTTTTAAAAAGTGACACAGCTGTTGTGATTCTCAAGTAGATCATCACACTGTTTAGCTGAAAGCAGAACTGAATTAAAGCATTAAAATAAAGACTGATAAATGAAGGTTCTTAGATATCAAAATATCTGATGAAAGAAACTGCATTTGATGAACCTTTCAGCCTCTCAAAGATCTATATCATAGGAAGATTTTACTTTATTCCCTAAGGAAAAATGTATTAGTATGAAAAGAGATTTTGTAAATGCTACCAGAACATATTACTGAGACAAGAAGCAAGCTGACAGCAGCAGGAAGAAATAACTCGTGACTGTTTGGAACCTACACCATAGTAAATTTGCTATTTTTAGTGTAGTGAGAAAGGGAATGATTTTTGATGCTGGATTTATTTTAATTTTAAAGATTGACATAGTAGAATTTCTTTACAAACAAAAGGTCTGGATGCAAGGCTCTTAATACAGATCATCTCTTACCACCTTGTATGGAATAACAATTTTTACCTTTTCAAAATGTAGTAATGTGGTTAGTACGTAGTTCCTGATTTTTCTGATCTTTAACCAGTTGATTACCACACATTTTTAGAAACTTTATACTTCATTAGACTTCTGAAGCGCTAAATGACAAAACTGGGAAGAATTTTGATTTCAGAGCCAAGAAACATTTTTAACTTGACTGGTCATAAATACAGGTGGCAGTTTAAAAATCAGGTTTATTTAACCAAGCACATTAAAGCTATTTTTTTCTTGATCACTGAGGTTAGCATAAAAACTTTTGCAAGTGTTTTCATAAACATTAGTTTATTTGGAAGAGTACAACCTAAAGTTGGTCAGGTCTTTTTTACACTGTATCTCTCCTGCAGCCAGACTGTTGATCTCCTCATGCAAGAGTCAGGATGTCGTTTAGAACATCCTTCTGCTACCAAATTCCGAAATCATGTCATGGAAGGAGACTGGGATAAGGTAAAGTAGGGCATATAGAGCTGTGTGACTGCTGCTAAAATTACATATTTCATGTACATTTTGTGACATGTCTGTTTTTCTTTTATACCAATTTTTGCAGGCAGAAAATGACCTGAATGAACTAAAGCCTTTAGTGCATTCTCCTCATGCTATTGTGGTAAGAGGCGCACTTGAAATCTCTCAAACGTTGTTGGGAATAATTGTGGTAAATACACTTTTGTTCTTAGTTTCACATTTATGCTTATTTTAGTAGGTTATTTAATGTTAGGCTTCTGCTTCTTGTAAAAGATAGGCCTAAAATAGTAATATTTCATATAATTTGTAAACTGAAATGAGTATTTATAGTACTTTAAAGTTTGAGCTTTATATTTTTAAAATCATACTTAATAAATGTGTCATTTGAACCTAGCTTATAAATTAATTGCTACAAAAATTATGTTAAAAGATCTTGCAGCTTTAAGTGTCCTTAATAGAAGTTTGTTTTTAGAGCCAAGGATAAGTTATATTTTTATATTGCTTAAAATATTAAATATGCTGGTGAAGAGAAAATGTGTTTTGAGTGTGTGCCTATCCATACAGCCTTAAGTAGCTTATACATTAATTATCCATTTTTATCTTTAAGAATTATAGTTAGTTCAAACCAACTCCCTTGGTGTGCTCACCATTTTCCACTCTTGCATTCCAGTTGTGTGAATTGACAGTGTCAAAGTTTTTGTAATATGTCTAATTCTGGTGAGGGTTTGTGTGCAAATTTAACAATTGGGCTTTGCTTATCGGCCTTATTTCCCCAACAAGATCAATTTAGTAGCTTAAGCTGTTAGTTTCTTTCATAAATCTTAATGAATCTTTTACCCTGATGAGCTTTAATTTTTCAGTTACTGTTGGTGAGGGAGACAAGGGATGAGTTTCTTCTAAGTTCTTGTGATTGGAAACTATAAAGAATCAGCTGCTAGCTGCTGGCTTGGAGCTTTTTAACTTCTAGCTGATTCATTTGTTGTCAAAAGCAGTTTCCTGTCTGATGGGGGAGGGAAAGAAGGCAAATAGGAAGTGAAGTAGGGAAAACAGCTGTTTGTTAAATACTAGTAAATGATCGTCACATTTTGATTTCTTAAATTGGGTCAGACTTTAATCTTTAATGTCTTTGTCTATAAACTTAATGACCTTTTTGTTTTTGAATACTTTACTACAAAAGAGTTTTCGAGTTCTTAATGTAATTCTATTCAAGTGTGTGATTTCTTGGAGGATTGTTTCCATTTTTTAAGCTTCACTAAAATTGTATCTGTAATTTAGGAGTAAAAATTTTAATAGGGTCACTTTCTGGTTTTTTTCTTATAATAATTTGAGACATCTGTATTGGACTTAGATTATGACTGTCTCATTAGAAACCTTCATTAGAAGCAACATGTAAACGGAAGAAAGGTAGTTGTAGATAATAAGGAGGAATCCTTTCTTTTTACAGCCTGTTCAGTCTATAGAACATTCTAGGATCTAATAAAAGATGAAGATTAAATCTCTGGCTGAGCCTCACGCCTTCAAAATGTTTAGGTATTTATATAAAGAAAAGGGTTCCAACTTTCTATTACCTTAAGCGTTGATGAATCAATTGCTTTTAAAGATTCATTTTTTTAAAGCTGCCCTTCATCTTTCATACTGTGTTTAGATTTGCTCCTCTTCCTTATTCTTCCTGTCCTCAGAAGAAGATAATGTAATGTAAGATTAAATTTATAATAATATGTTAAAATAACAGCTGCATTTTTTAAAAAAATTATTGTGGTTCTGTATCCAGGCACTTTTAAAACCTTAGTCTAGGCTAAAATTGTATTTTAATTTTAAACCGGAACCTTTTTATTGACCTATCCCACCACATTCTCCACTTTCTCCCTTCCCCCATTTTTAAACAGTCTCCTGTCAAATAATATTGCAAATAGCAGGATTTGCTCTGGATTTTTTGGAAGCTGAGCTTGTGAATGAACATTTTTTTGGTTTGAGTTCATATGTGACTAGCCAAACCTGAGGAATTTGGATGGGTACTTGAGACCAGTAACTTACAAAACATATATAGTGTGTGTGTGTGTATATATATATATATACTATATATGTGTGTGTGTGTGTATGTATATTACATATATCTATTTGATTATTTTGTAATATAATATGCTTAACAAGTGTCCAAAATTAACTTGCCCTACAAAAATTAACTAATATATTTTAAAGTTGAGTAGCCATGAGTTTTGAGAGTATGGTTTAAATATATAATTCTTTTCCCCTGTGCTCTGAGTCATAATTGACATATAGCTTGGTATAACTTTATTCCAGAGTTAGTCAGAACCACTACTAAGTTAGCTGGAAGGCTGCCCTTGATGACCAGACTTCCTGTGTATCATAACTTCTGAGTTTTTTCTCACGTTGAGTTCAATCTAATGATATGGGAGGAAAAAGAAAATACTGAGTGAGGTGGGAGGCAATAGCAGGATTTACTATGTAAATCTATATTTCAAGCAATGCTTGTCACTTATAAATTTCAAGTTTTTATTGGATTTTAAAAGAGAAGGAAATATTGCTGGGCCCAAAGCTGCTAAAAAAGCATAAGAGATGGCTTAATTAGCACTTAGGGAAAGATAGGAGAGTTTGTTTCTCAGCCTATTGCATTCTTCATTTAATAAAAAAATTCATGATCCTTTTTTAAAAATAACTGTTAGTGAGCCCTATCCCCCTTGAGGAAGCTTCAGTTTTGCCAGATTTTTGAAACTTCTTCAGTAAATTAGGGAGCTCTGGTAGCATAGTGGCTAAGACACTTGCCTGCTAACCAGACGGCTGGCGGTTCAAACCCACCAGCCACTCCTCGGAAGGAAGGTTGGACAATCCTACTTCCATAGCGATACTGCCTCGGAAACCCGAGGAGGGGTCACTATGAGTCGGGTTTGACTTGACGGCACATAACAACAGTAAATTAACATCATAGGTAAATTAAAAGGACTTTACTTTCTTGAAGTTTTGTTTACACTTTTGTCCCTTAAATTTTGGGAGATAAAATACAATTTTATTCCCTATCCTTATAATGTGGGAGCTCTGGTAGCGTAGTGCCTAAGCACTTGACTGCTAACCAGAAGGCTGGTGGTTCAAACCCACCAGCCACTCCTCGGAAGGAAGATGGGGCAATCTACTTCCATAGTGATACTGCCTCGGAAACCCAAAGAAGGGGTCACTATGAGTTGGGTCCGATTCGACAGCACATAACAACAACAATCCTTATAATGTATGTCTAATACTTTCATTGCTGAAATGATTGTTAGGAGAATAAAGATTTTCTCTCTCTGGCCAAATCTAGCAGTGTTTGACCAGCAGCATATTAGTTACTCTTTACTATACCAAGATTTGATTTGAGGATATTCTTTATCTTAATCTGGATAGAATGATGCATAAGAGACATGCTCTTAACACTGATTTTATAGTGTTCCCTGTAGGTATGTTGGCTTCTCTTAAAGTGTTGCTTTGCCTTCCTCTTCTGTCCCACCTCAGTCCCATTGAAGTAGAGTAACATGTTCTGTCAGGATCTTGGTGGGAAAATAAGGGTGAAATGGCACTTGGGGCACTGTCCCTACACACATTGGACTGTGGGGGAGGTGGCTGTGTATGAGTGCATAGGCCCTAACAATTTGATACTGAAAAATAGATCAGTAAAAGACTTGCCCTGAATTAAAAAAAAAAAAAATCCCTCAGATTCCTATTTGGTAAGAGTATTTATTTAAGTGAAGAAATTAAATGTACATACAGGCCAAGTCTTTGTGCCATTTAAATGAAAGAAAATTTGTAATTAAATATGATTCTCAAGCTTAAATTAAAAATGCATTATATGTAAAGAAAGTTGTAATATATTGCTAAATGGAAATACACGAGCTCTTCATTTCACAAAGAATTAAAGTTTTTTAAAGGTTAAAATGATGAAAATATTTAGAATACCTTCAGTATAAAATCTTTTGCATTTTAGTTGGCTTTTGTTTTTACGGTTTTGTTTTTTGTCACTTGGGAGACTTTGTGATATTGATATTTTTTTATTTGACATGTAAAGGTTAACTTCAGGCTACATGCATAGTAGCATACTTTTTAGGGAAGCTTGGTAATTATTCTGAAACTTTCATTAGTCAACCTACTTTATGTATAAAATTTGGTAAGTGCAATAGTTATAGTTATATGGGCATGTTTGGTATTTTGAAAATTTTTCTCTTGTTCTTTACCTATAGATTTAAGAATAAATTAATACCAAACATAAGCATTGTATTTTATAAAGGGTATGTTGTAAATATATGTCTGACTTAGAGAGGTTTTTGTTTTGTTTACTTTGTCCAGAAACCATTTTTATAAGGTCATAGTTTATGTATCTCTTGTAAATACTCCCTCTATAGAAAATGTTGTAGGACAGTTAATTGTGATCTTAATTGCATAAATAAATGGTAATTTCTCAACACCATTTTGTGACAGCAGATATTTTTAAAACTGCTTTTAAAATAATTATTTTAATTGAAAGAGAAAGAGTTATCATTTGGGTTTTTATTTTAAGTATATTTAAGATCTTTACCACTATAGTCCTTGGAGCTTCTAAATATGACTAACATTTTCTACCTACTTTTACAAAGTAGTAAAACAGCATGAAAAAGCCATGCCAGTTGGCTTGCTCCAGCTCCATAAGTAGCAAATATGATAAAAGTGTCACTTTAAGCAGTGATCCTTAATTGTTTAAAAGAAATTTCACACTCAATGTTCATAAACTATTTATCCCTTTTCTTTTCTGTAGCAAAAGCTGCTATGATTGTGATGATTATTTCCAAGTTAAAAGTAAAATAATAAACATTAAAAAGTATTAAAGCCAAACAGATTTCAGAAAAATAAGCTAAATGTCAAATACTTCACAATAAGCAAGAAATAGTTTATCCTTTTGGAGGAAACATGCTGATGATAATTCTGCTTCATAGTTAAATGCATCAGTGACAAATTATTACAAATTAACAGTTGGATTATTACAGATAGACAAATATTGGATCTTTTTCAGGATCTTTGTTTAACCTTCTAATGTAGGCATATCTTTATAGCATCTAGAGAGAGCTGGTCCATTAAGCTTATTATGCTTGCCCACTTTATATACTTTTTTATTCTTATTACGGCAAATACATATGTAACAAATCATTTGCCATTTCCACAGTACTTGTCTACTTTAGTCATAGGGTGCTCAATACGTTGCAGACCAGCCTCTAGTCCATTTGTTGGCTAGCTTTTCTTACTTGGATAGGGCTTGATCTGGCATTTTACAACTTCTACCTGTTGACTAGGAGCTCTGGTAGCCTAGTGCCTAAGGCACTTGACTGCTAACCAGAAGGCCACAGTTCAAACCCACCAGCCACTCCTTGGAAGGAAAGTTGGGCAATCTGCTTTGATAGTGATACTGCCTTGGAAACTCAAGAAGGGGTCGCTGTGAGTTGGGTCCAACTCGGAAGCACACAACAACCACCACCTGTTGACTGTAGTTCTGCTTTCTTATCTACTTAGTGCTTCTTTCACAGTGTAGCTTTTAAATCTTGTATTAAATGGTTTTACTCCTTGTTTTTCAATAATTATATACATCCCCTTTGCCCCATTATAAAAGTCAGAGTTTTTAAAAGCAAACATAGAATACTTGAAATAGTTTCAAATTTTCACATAAGAAATAAAAGTCTAAGTGAATGTTTTGAGTTTAAGTTTATTTTTTCCTGTGTTTATGCCTTGGTCACTAATGATCTTGTCTGATATGAGATTATTAATTCAAAATAGAGTTTTATTATAATTATGTGGAATTGTGCAAAGTAATATTTAATCTACTGTGACTCTTAAACCAGAATATTTTGAGTCATCTTGAAGCTTTATAAAAAATTATTTTCAAAGGACATAGTAGAATGGTTTCTACTGTTCTGTTTAGGCACAAACATTTTCTGAAACTTCCGTCAACTTTTTTCCCCTGACTGCTGCTTTCTGTCATGTCAGAGGATGAAGTTTTTGCTGCTACAGCAGAAGTACCTGGAATACCTGGAGGATGGCAAAGTCCTGGAGGCACTTCAAGTTCCACACTGTGAATTGATGCCACTGAAATACAATACAGAGCGCATTCATGTTCTTAGTGGGTAAGGAACCTTGATTCTTAGACTTTAGGTTGGTGAAGGGCCTGTTATTTTGAAAGTGGTTACTTTTCTAAAGTTATTTCTTTAACATTTTTCCAAGATATAAGTACCTGAATATGGTTGAAGTCTTAGATAATGTATGTTTGAGTAAATTCACTTATATATGTATAGACTGTTTTTGTCGTCCTAAAAAGCTTTCCATGTGAGGCTAGACAGAAATTTACTTGAGTGAAAGGAAGAAGAGATGTATTGCCACTGAAAGGGCATTTCCTAATCTTCTTTAAAAACCCTGAGGCATGGGTCACAATAAGCAATGAAGTTTCCAGAATTGGTACATACATATTCTTTAATGAATACTTGTCAAATACCTAGTGTTAAGCATTTCCTGTACACAATCATATTTTATCCACACATCAATCTTTCAAATGTTTAAGTACCGCCAAGGATTGGTTGTATACCCCTTTTTTATCCTGTCTATGTCCTCTTCCTAGGTAAGCTCATTCTGTACCATACCTTTGACATATTATCTGTATGCCAATGGCTCCCAGATTGACCATCTCATCTGAACTCCAGATGTTATGTGTGACAGTCTCCAGTTGGATACATTCGAACAAATTTAAATTTGTTCAAAATAAAATTCTTGATTTTGGGTGTATCTATACCCACTCCCACAGAGTTGCTCCTCTAGTTTTCCTCATCTAAGTAAATAGCAACATTTCTACCCATTTACTCAGTCTAAAAACTTAAGGCTCATCCTTGCTTTATCTTTTAACTTTGATGTATATTAACATGACTCTAAACCATCCCAAATTTGCCCATTTCTGTCCATTCCTACAATTTCATCTTACTTAAGCAGCAAACATTTTTCTTAGAATATTGTAGTAGCCTCCTAACTGGTGTCACTGCCTTCACTCTTGCTCCATCAATAATGCCTGTTTCACACAGCAGCTAAAGAAATGCATAAGTAAAATATTAAATAAATTATTCCACTCCATTCCATTGGTTGTCACAAAAGGCAAAGAAGTAATTGTAAATCACTTTTGCAAAATATAAAAAGTGAACAATTTTGCATGTAATTATTGATAATAAATTTTACTACCAAAAAGTTACTTTGGAGATCACATTTTCACAATATCCAACTTCTTACAGGGTACAGGATTTTTTCATTTAATTTTTATGATTTGAATGAAAGTTCACAGAGCAAATTGGTTTTCCGTTCAACTGTTTCAACTGTTCCTGTATGTTTTGTTTTGTGACATTGAATGCAGTCTCCAAAATGTAACAGGACTCTTCCCACTTCCTTCCTGTGTTTACTGTTTTCATTCATCTTATATCCTATCCATTGTTGCCTTCTAAGCTTTCTTAAAAAGCTGGGCAAATGCTGCCCTTTTGGTCTTGTGCAGTTAATTGTTCTAATGAGTGCATACTTCCCTGGTATTATTGTTTACCCCATACACCTGTCTATTGTTTGGCTGACAGTTGAGCCACAGTGGTAAGTTCATTTCTAGGCTTGAAGAGCGACTAAGGGGTTCTACCAGTTCTATCAGACCAGTAAGCCTGGCCTTTATTTATATTTATATATATTTATTTATATATATATACAGAGAGAGAGAGAGAGAGAGCTCTACTTGTGTACCAGGTATGAACTAAGTACTTGATGTACTTCGTTTTATTTAACCTTCATTGTCCTATTTAACCAAAAGATGGGCAGTTTCAACCTACCAGCTGCCCCACAGGAGACAGATGAAGCAGTCTGCTTCTGTAAATATTTACAGTCTTGGAAACCCTGTTGAGTTGGCTATGAATTAGAATTGATGAAATAGTAGAAGGTTTGGTTTCATTTGGTCCTATTTAAAATCATTTTTATAAGTGAGAAGAACAGATTTGTCTAGTAGTTGAAGTACTATACAAAATAGCAGGAGAGTCCCTTGCCATGTCTAATTTCCATGTTTGAATAACACTTCTTTTACTTCTAAAGTTCTGAGAAGAGCCAGAACCAAGCAAGTCAAGGTAACACTTCCAGCAGGGTGTCTTTATTTATTCTCCAGAATCTATGAACTTTAGAGTTTATGCTTCCATCAGTACATACAGTAATAAGTCCCAAATTTTGTGCTCGGGAATCTCAGTACCTTTCACAGAATGACACAAGGATGATTATCCAATTACACTGTTTCTTAAGTGATGTTTGTGATAAACTCTTGGAAGTATGCTGTTTTTTTTTTTTATTACTATTGAGAAGCACTTTAATTAGCACAGTGGTTAAGAGTAGGTTATAGAACTAGAATGCCTAGGTTCATACCCCTACTTTGCCTCTTAACTATAGGAAGTTACTCAAGCATTGTTTGCCTTGGTCTCTTCATTTATGAAAAATAGAATAATAGGGTTTACTCCATAAACGATTGTTAAGAAGATTAAATGAACTAATTTACATTGAGTGCTTAGAACAGAGTTTGTCACACAGTAAGAGTTGCAGTATATCTACACACCCAGATCCACTGCCGTTGACTCAATTAGGATTCATACAGACCCTTTAGGACAGAGTAGAACTGCCCCATAGGGTTTCCAAGGCTGTAACTGCCTCATCTTTCTCCCACGGAGCAGCTGGTGGGTTTGACCTGCCAACCTTTTGCTTAGCAGTTGAATGCTTAAATCACTAGGCCACAAGAGTTCTTTGCAATATATGTAGTAGTATGATAATATAAGAATATTCATTATTAATAGATAATATAATAGAATTTTAATATTATGTATGTTAGCTATCATTACATCAAATTTTAGTAATTATTATCCAGCTTGCCAGTTTGTATTAATGAATTGGATCCATTATATAAATTCCTTCTTGGTATGTTTCTTACTATGAACTCCAAAAAACCAAACTCACTGCCATTAAGTCGATTTCGACACATAGCACAACCCCTCTTTGGGTTTCCAAGGTGGTATCTACAGAAGTAGGTTGCCCAGTCTTCCTTCTGTGGGTTTGAAACACCAGCCTTCTGGGTAGCAGTCAAATGCCTTAGGCACTATACCACCAGAACTCCTTAATGTGAAGTAGATGTCCAATATTTTTCAATTATGTTTATTCTAAAAAAAAAAAAAAAAGGGTTTGATACCATTGCTTTCTCTAATACATTTTTAGGTATCTGATGTGTAGCCATGCAGAAGACCTACGTGCAAAAGCAGAATGGGAAGGCAAAGGGACAGCTTCCCGATCCAAACTATTGGACAAACTTCAGAGTAAGAGTCTTAATTGTTGATCATTCTGTATTTTCTCTTAGATTAGAAGTAGATGTTAAGAATCAGTTAGTAAAACTCATATCTAGACATACTTTCATTGAATTTTATTATAGTAGAAAAGAGGGGGATCCATTAAAAGGCTCTGTAAACCAAAGGTTTTCAAACTTTGCCATAGAGTCTAAGAAATTAGAGAGTAAGAGGGCACTGCTCCTATAGCAGTTCTTTTATTTGTTTTAGGAAGTGGTGTTGCTCATAAGATTTTGTTTAGGGGGAAAAGTGCTGTGGTTAGAGGAAAATATGTAAACCACTGCTTTTAGCCACAAGTGTTTTAAATATTTTGTTGATTTCAGTAATAAGTCATAGTTTTTTTTTTTTTTTTAAAGTAAATTGTTTTACTCTCCTCTCAGATATCTTAGATAACTTCCAAATTAGAGTAAGGGCTTAATTTTTGCTACATTTTTATGTAGAGGACCTTCCTCCCATCCCTGGTCAAATCATAATATTCTGTAATTTTCATTGAGGTGGAAATGGTCGAAAGCCTAAGAATCAGAAAATCAGATGATTGAGGATGTATGAGGCATTGAATATTGGAGTAGATTAGTATTAATAACAAAATACCAGTTATTCCCTGAATTTCCGTAGTATCCTTTGCATTAGGAGCAATCTGATAGGGCCTGGAACTTGAGCTATTGCAGCATTTTGGCTTGCCCTTTGTAATATGCAAGTTTTTCTTACACTTTTAGTAATGCTTAGTTCCCCTCTAGTCCAAAGTCATCTTTATATTCTTTTTTTTTTTAGAAAATTCATACACAAAATAAGGCTCTCCTATTCAAGTATATCCTGTTGTAGTGATAACATAGCTTGAGCTGCTGACATATATTCATGAGGATCATGTGTTATATTTAAGAGATAAAATATGGTTGGGGAAGGAGCAGTTGCAGCAAAAGATGAGCAAATGTATTAAATAAAAGTTTATATTGCTTTTTTTTTTTTAATTTTTATTTCTCTTTTTTAAAATATCTTCTATTAAAGCCTATTTGCCACCATCAGTGATGCTTCCCCCACGGCGTTTACAGACTCTCCTGCGGCAGGCTGTGGAACTACAAAGGGATCGGTGCCTATATCACAATACCAAACTTGATAATAATCTAGATTCTGTGTCTCTGCTTATAGATCATGTTTGTAGTAGGTAAGAAGAAAACTTCGTATACTCTGAAATAGGCCGTCATTTCACAGACTTGATTATGAACATTATTTAAATGTTTTCCTTTTTAGGGTTTTATCCTAAAGTTGTAAAATCATGCCTAATTTAGCATTTATTCACAAGTAAAAGTAGAACCACTGATGCTGAAAATTAAAAGATGTTTGTGTATGTTTATATAGTAAGCCACACCTTGAGAACTAGAGCTGTAAAGCTTTTTTTTTTTTTTTAATCTATGGGTGTGGTTAGTCATTTTCTGCCTTTTTAACAGTTTTTTGATGATTTGTAAGTGATAATTGTGTGGGAATGCCAGTGATCCAACTGTTTACTGTTCTTGAATGCTAGGGATTACTTAGTGATTCTTTCTGTGGACATGCATCCTATTTTAACTATGGCCCAAATTGTTTTCTGCTTATAAAGATCTAGAAATGCTTTCCATGATGAAAACTCTACTTGTTATTAGAAGATAGACTATAAACTAAAATGGTTAGAATAACTGTTACTTTTCTGGTTTGGGTTTAGTTATTGTACCTACCTATGTACATAATTTACCTGATAAGAATTCAGACTTCTCTTTTGGTGTTTAAGAGTATTTTGAGTACAAGTGTCCCTGCTATTTTAATAATGATCTCCAAAATTAAAGCAAAGCTTTAATTTTTAAGGTACTGAAAAACAAACTGAAATCTTTCAAACCTCCAGGAAGGAAATGATTTGGATCTGATGAACTAAACACAAAGAGGAACAGCTGCAGTAGACATGCTTAATTTCCTTTGCCAAAGATCATGAAGAACTAATGAAAACATGAATAGGAAAGACAAAAGTACATAAATGTGAGGACTTTGCATAAATGAGGAACTTATAAGTAACCATACAAATTATGTATAATTCATGCACATCTGCACTGGGATTTAAAGTAATTTCTTTAGGTGTGCATAAACGATTTTGTGAATATAGTTGAGTTCTTAATTATCCTTCCCAATTGCAAATAATAATAATTGTTTGAACTGTTGACCTCAAATTATCTTAAAATATTGGATTATTACCTAGTGAAAATCTTAAATGAACTAAAAGAACGTGATTAGAGACCTTTTTCCTCATTCTTTTTTTCCGTGTTTTTTGACCTCTTGATCTTTCTTTGTTTCTACTCTTTAGCACTGTTCTTTCATTTGCTTATGAAGATTTTAGATCTTTTTATTTAAATTGAATAGAGGTAGGAGGAAGTAATAGATTAAAAGGCTATCTCGTTTCATATTTCATAGCCTCATTAGGAAATTTTGAGAACATTGTTAAAATTAAGACAGTGGTGTTGTTTTTGTTGTTGTTGTTCATAAATTTATTGCTGTTCTTAAACTTATTGCTGATGGAATACACTGAAAGGTGGTAACTGGACATTATGGTTCAAGGTTAAGAGCTTGCCTTCTTGTTTGGAAATCTATGGGATTATAGCCTACATTTTTCCTAAATGTTTTAACTGTTATATCAATACCTATTAAACTTTTTTCCAATTCTCAGATTGAAGTCAGGCTCCTATAAGCCTGTATACGAAAACACTGAAGTTTTATATAGAAGTGAAAGAGTTCTTTTTCTTCAGAAATAAGCATTGATTGAAAAGTCTTCTTTGTAATCTTAACAAACAGAAACATGAAACAAACTGATTCTATGCTCTTCCTAGTTACTACTCTCTTTCCCCTTCATTTCAGAGCTGACTTATTGATAAAAATGCCTACCATACACTCAATAGGGAACTCTGGTGGCCTAGTGCCTAAGGCATTTGCTGCTAACCAGAAAGTTGGTGGTTCAAACCCACCAGCCACTCCTTGGAAGGAAGGTTGGGCAATCTACTTCTGTACTGATACCACCTCAGAAACCCAAGGAGGGGTCGCTGTGAGTCTGATCCGACTTGACAGCAGTGTGTTAGTTAGTTATACGTTCATAATATCTGTCCTTACTTCCTCTTTCTTCTTCCAGTTTCTGTAATGATAGGGCTTGTGCAGGTAACCTAGCATCAAAACTATTGATGATGTTGGTGAGAAACAACTTCTTTATTGTTAAATCCATTGGGCTTTTTCCAGCTTGTATTTTGGCCTCTCTATAGCATTTGACTACTCTGCCTTGAAATTTTTTCTTTGACTTCTAAAATACTCTAGAATTTTGTTTTTACTTTTGGCTATTCCTTATATTCTTCTTCACTTATCCTTTTCATAAGTGCATGTTCCAGAATTGTGTTTCTTGCTATACTCCCATGGTTCTGATGTTGCTCAAATACCCTAAATTCAGCATGTTCAAAATAGAGTTTCTCTCCCTCTTACCTATTGCTACAAAGTCAGCTATTCCTCTTGAATTCCTTATCTCAGTGAAAGTCTACCATCTACTCTGTTCCCCCAAGCCAGAATACTAGCATTCAGCCTTAACTTGACTTTTCACTATAGAGATAAGTGTAAAGATACTAAGGGAGGCTTCGGTGGCATAGTGCCTAAGGCATTTGACTGCTAAGCAGAAGGCTGGCGGTTCAGACCCACCTTGGAAGGAAGATTGGGCAATCTACTTCCATAGAGGTACACCCTCAGAAACCCAAGGAAGGGTCACAATGAGAGGTAATCAACTTGACGGCAGTGGGTTTGCTTTTTAAGGGGGAGACATCAGGCACAAGTCATAGACATTCTTGAGAGTGAGTTGTGCCCTTCTTTGCCAAAGTGGGGAAAATGGAACCTGATTTAATTGCTACTGTTCTATACTCATTTGCAGTTTTTCAGAAGAAAAGTTGATAATTTTTCATTATCTGCTTTACTCCCTTTTAGAAAACACTATTTTCAGAAATTTGTTCTTAGCACTGAAATAAAATACCAGCTTTTTCTTTGGTAAATAGAGAATTAGCTAAGAGTAACTGAATTCTGACACGCCCCGCCCCAATCCAGATCAGCACTGAAGAAATTTTGTTAGATTATATACATTTTATGTTTTTCACAGTTAGCACATACATATTTTTGGTTGAGTTTGACCAGCAGTGGGTTTTTTATTATTATTACTACTTTTTTTTTTTTTTTTTAAAATAATCTTGTTGGCTTTTTCATCAGCAACCAATGAAAGGATATATTCACAGGTAGCTTTATAAGTATTAATTTCCTTAGTAAAGGGTTCCTGTAAAATAAACTTACAGTTGAAAACATTCAGTTTAATTAAATGCTATTGTTTATTCAGTTTTACTTGAGAAGGTACTAATCTTTATTTTTTAATACCATCTTATGTCATAAATTCACTTGAAAGCAAAGTAATAATCAATCACTTATATCCATCTAAAAATAGGCTTTTCATAAATTGAGGGCTGTTATATTAGTCTCTTAAAAAGATTCTTTAAATAATGGTAAAGATAATGACAATGTAGATACACTTTAGTGATACTCAAATACAACTGATTATTATTATTGATAGATTAGATCATTTATGTCCTTGAATCTGCCCTTCCTTAAGGACATTTTGCTGCCTTAATTTTAAATATGTATTTTTTTATTAGATTAAACTTTAGCCATTTAAATTATTGCATATTTTGTGCCTAGATAGAAAGTGTTTCTCACTGAATAAATGACATATCTCTATTGATTGTTACTCCCAGGAGGAAAATAAAACTATTTCTGATGTTGAAAGTACTTGTTTGAGTAGAATTTTATCCAGCAGTGGCTTGAAAAATGTGATTTAAGAAATGGTATTTAGAAAGGAAGCTGGCCTTGGAGTCAGATGTAGGTTCAAATCCTAGTTCAGTTACTTATCAGTTTTATGACATCTGGTAAGTTATCCACCTTCTTTTATGGCCTCATCATGAAAATAGGGATGATAGTACGTTCCTTACAATGTCATTTTGAAAATAAGAGCCCTGAAGGAAGGTTGGGCAATCTACTTCTGTAGTGATACCACCTCAGAAACCCAAGGAGGGGTCGCTATGAGTCAAGTTTGACTCGACAGCAGTGAGTTTGGTTTTGGTTTTGGTGGTGCAAGGGTTAAAGCACTTGGCTGCTAAGTGGAAAAGTAGGAAGGTTGAAACCCACCAGCTGCTCCAAGGGAGAAAGATGTGGCAGTCTGTTCCCATAAAAGATTTATAGCCTTGGAAACTCGGGCAGTTCTGCTCTGTCCGATAGGGTCACTGTGAGTCAGAATCACCTCACACTTAGCACAGTGTTTGGCTTTGGCACCTAGTAAGTGCTTAGTAAATGTCAGCTAGTAGTAATTATAATTTCACTGCAGGTGTGAGATGATAGTTTAATATTAAACAATTCATAGTTAAAGCAATCAAAGTTTAAAGCACCCTCCAAAGAGCTAGCTGCTCAGGTAGTTTGCCATGTGTGCCAGATGAAGAATTCTAATTTAATTTACTTAAAAATATATATTACCTATCAGACTGATGAATTGATATAATATATTTTTAATTATAGGTTGGCTGGGGAAAGATAGAGAAGACCATTTCTCAAGACTTAAGAGTTTACCCATTAATGTTTAATAACTCTTTGTTTAATAATACAGAAAATTTGTAATACAAAGCTGTAGTTACTGATCCTTACCAGAACCCTGTTAGGTAGATAGTAATCCTGTTTTAGAGGTGAGGGAACTAAGGCTCAGAGGAGTTAAAGGACTTGCCAAAGATAGTATTAAAACTTGTGACTGAGCAGGAGTTTAAACTCATTGTCTGACTGCAATTCTCTTTTTGTTATACCAAATTGCTTTTGTAGTAGAAGTTTAACTGGATTTTATATAAATGGAGATATTACATTATTCCTTCTAGAACAACCTGATGCCAGCCTGTTTATATAGGTAAACACGAAGCCCTTTATTTATATGAATTGATTTCATATTAATTAACGAAAAGATTTCATGTGATTTGATTATTTTAAAAGTTTATAATTTCCAAAGAAGCTTTATCAGTTATTTAATATTTTTCATTATTATTCCTCTATTTTGAAAAAAGAATTATTTGTGAACTTTTTTGTTTTAGGAGGCAGTTCCCATGTTATACTCAGCAGATACTTACAGAGCATTGTAATGAAGTGTGGTTTTGTAAATTCTCTAACGATGGCACTAAACTAGCAACAGGATCAAAAGATACAACTGTTATAATATGGCAAGTTGATCCGGTATGTACTCCAGTATGAGTGTTTAGATTTCAAAAAGGTAATTTTGAATCTAATTCTTTAACTATATGTTTTTAAAGTATTCTTTTCCAAGTGTATTTTTTAACGTCTTTGTCACCTCTTTCTTTCTCCCTTTTGTCTAGATAATACATGTATGTTAATATCTACATTACTGAGTGCTTGTGATTGTGTTAAATCTAAGTACTCATTATTTTCTGAATAACTCTGTGAGATTTTAACATCTCTTACTTTCAAATGAGGAAGTCAAGATAGATGTTAAATGCCTAGGCGCTGATAACTTATAAATGGCAGCATTAGGACACAAATCCAGGGACGTTTTAACTCCCAAGACACTGTTAATGTTTCTGCCACCTTGCATTTTTGGTTTACAGAACTGATGCAGTGTCTGTCCATTCATTCTCTCACAGGTTAGAAAGGAATCATTACTGGTTTTCTTCTGTTTACCCTTCATTGTCTTGTGTAATTTGTGGAACTTGTGTGAATCCCCCTCCCCTGCGTTTTTCCTCAATGATATCCATGAAAGTACTGTGTTTTGGATTTAAAATTCTAAATTCTCTGAGAAATCAGCTTTATATTTGTTTGTTTATAATCAGAAGACCTATAGATTTGGAGAAATAAGTATTTCCATTTTTTTTCAGGCAAGTGAACGTTTGTTACGCAATCAAAGAAGTAAATGACTCAAATAGGCTAAGGAAGTATATGTGGTCTAGGAGTCATTCACCTAAAATCATGAAATATATAAACATTTTTAAATTTAGCATTAGCCCAGAATAAAGTTTGGGGAGCCTCTTATGTTGAAAGAATAAAGAAAAGGAGCCAAAGAAGGGGAAAATTTTAAAAAGAGAAGACTCAAATTTGAGAGCGTACAGCAATTGTGTATTTGCAATAAGCTGTGACTGATGAAAGGTAATTAAGTTGTAGTTTTTTGCCTAAGAGCAAGGTTTTCTCCTCTTTTTTGTACCGTGTGCCTTTTTCGCAATCTAGCAAACCTATGAACTCCTTCTTAGAATAATATTTTTAAGTGAAAAAAAACATAGGGAGTCCAATTATACATTATACATTAATGACTAAAGAAACCCAATTATATTGAAATACAGTTATCAAAATAGTATAAAAATGATCACAATAAAGTAGTATGTTGCTTCTTTATTAACACATTAAATAACAATTTCTGGCAGCAGATTATAACTAAAATTTTGAAATAATGATGAGCATAAACAATACTTTGAGATATCTGCAGCATCTCTAATATGATATGAAAATACTTGAGATTTCTATTGGTAGCAGTCACAGAGACTACTAACCTTTTGATTATTAATTGCCTGCATTCAAGATGGAAGGATTGCCATTAGTGAAAATAAAGATGTATTTTTTTCCCATTTAAGTTCACGGACCAGTGATTCTATCCATGGACCACTTCTTGTATATCTCAGGTTAAAACTCCTGCTAAAGGAATGTACAATTTAGAAAGGGAAATAAAAAACCTATTGCCATCAAATTGAACCTGACTCATAGCAACCCCTCCTTGGGTTTCTAAGGTGGTATCACTACGGAATAGATTGCCCAACCTTCCTTCCGAGGAGTGGCTGATGGGTTTGAACCACCAGCCTTCTGGTTTAGCAGTCAAATGCCTTAGGCACTATGCCACCAGAGCTCCCAGAAAGGGAAATAAAACAAAATAAAATCAGCATACATATATTTGTGTGTGTGTGTGTATGTACATATGTATGTAAGAAGGAAGTATTATGAGAGCACAAAGGAGTTTCACAAAGGGGTGTACCTCATTGAAGAGGTAGTGTTTGAACTTTGCTATGCATAACACAAGTGAACGTAGGGAAAGGGCATTGTAGGAAAAGAAGGAGCTTTACTTGCCATTTCTTCTTTCCCCCAAAATAAGACAATAAAGTAAGTAAGGACAAAGAGTAGGAAGTAAGACTAGAAAAAGAGTTTGGATTCAGATCATGGCCCTTGAATACTGTTCTAAGGAGTTCTTACTTCATTTAACAGTTATTTGCATGTTATTGAATTGTCAAATTGAAAGGAGAGCAAAGCAGTCATGTTAAAACTATGCTAAGTTTTTCTAGCAGCAATGTGTCAAAGTCCCTTCATTTAACAAGTACTTATTGAGCACCTGCTGTGTACCAGACCTTGTGCCAGGGAAGACAGACTGAGCACATTATACAGTGTAATTGTGCTAAAGTGAATGCTACAGGAACTCATAGAAGAGGTCCAGTTGGAAGTAGAGAGCTGGCAAAAGTAAGAAAAGTAAATTTTACGTGTAGAAGGGTGTAAAGAACTATTTAGGCAAAACTAGCTAGGAATGGCTCTTGTATGAAAGAAAACATGACTTGGCATGTGGGGACTAGGGGGGAAGTTTTTGGTAAACTAGGAGATGAAGTTACAGAAGTAAGTAGCAGCCAGATCAAGGATGATTTTCTGTGCTTTACTAAGGAGTTTAGATGTTTATTCCAATGTTTCCCAGATCATTTTTGCCAGAATACTGGTGTGTAGAATGTTAGTAGGTGTTACATATACAGGGCTTTTGGGAAATGCAGTTAAATGCTTATCTTCAAATCTGCAATATAGAGGATTTTTGACACTAATTTTTAGAAAGCTGTACTATAGTAAAGAGGGAGCTCTAGAGGCACACTGGTTAAGGCATTTGGCTGCTAACGAAAAGGTCAGCAGTTTGAACCCACCAGCCATTCTGCAAGAAAAAAGATGTAGCAATCTGCTTCCGTAAAGATTTACAGCTTGTAAACTCTGTGGGGCAGTACTACTCTGTCCTGTAGATGACTGTGAGTTGGAATCGATTCAGTAGCAGTGAGTTTGATTTTGATTTATACTACAATGAGTTCTCTGAGACTGTTTTAATTCTTTTGGTATGATGGCATTTTGTTATGTCAAATAGTTTTTGAGAAAATTTGACTGTGCTTTTTGAATGCATGTATTTTGTGCATGCTTTTTGATAGGGGAAAGAATACAGCAAGAACCTTAAGATTTGAGTTGATGTCATTCCAGTGCCTAGTTTCCTTTAACAGTTTTTCATAAAATGAATTTTATTCATTCTCTTCCCCCCAGAAAAATCATTCTGATTCAAATTAACATGGTGTTTCCATTTTGAATAGGTAATATATAGTATAGCAATTGCAAAGATAGAGTATTAATATCCTCATTTTCCTCCCACTGTTTTTCACAGGATTGTATCATTTTGTTAATATACACAAATAGTTGGTTTTTGAATTACATACTTCTAAAGGTGTTTGTCATCAGTTTAGAAGCTAATCTTTGTGTGGATCAGAAACTGCTATGAAAGAATGTCCCTGAAGGGTCTTGAGTATTTAGAAAGACTTGACCTGCTTGTTATATTATGAAAACCACTATGACCCAAGGATATTACTGATAAAATAGAAATACTCCATGCCTACTAATGCCCTCTTCCCTCAAGAAGAATCAGAAGTAGTTGCATTGTTAACTATTCAGTTTTATCAAAACAGTAGAGCTTTGGACTGGAAAGTTGTATAAATGCCTCGTAAAGAAACAAAATACAGTAAACACAATCCATTTCTTACTGACATTTCTGGAAAAAATTCCCAAATTAATTAATTAGACTGTATCAGACTGCTTGTAGGTTATCTCCATTGGAATTTCCCATAAGCTCAAAACTGTACTCAGTAAGTCTGTAGACTTGAGCCCAAAGTTTAACTAATTGTGTTTTCCACCTCTTACCAAATTGTTACTTCCTCTTTTCCCTGTCCACAGCCATTAAACCAGAAATCTGGAGGTCTTTGAACATTTTTGGTCACATTCTGTGTGTCAGTTTTATTTTTCAAGTAATATTTGATCTTGAGCTCTTCCAGTCCTGACCATTTTAGTTTAGAGCTTCATATCTTATCTTAACTCTTACTGTTGCATTGGCTCATTATGTGTTTCTTTATCCTGTGTCTGTTCATTCTGATTCATCTTCTACATTGTTGTCAAAATTCTCTATAAAATCAAATATTATGTTATATATTCCCAGGCTTAAAATTTTAAGCGGCCATTCACTCACAGGATAAAATTTAACCACTTAGCCTAAAATAAACATGTAAATTTTCCCAGCCTTGTCACCTGCCACTTCCCCATTTGCATTCTACAGTTCAGTCTCCATAACTCAGAATATGGGCTGAATCCAGCAGCCCAGATTCAAATCCTGATATGCACTATAGACAGAGGCAAATTTCTAACCTCTAAACCTTTATTGCCTTCCCTTCATTGTATACCTCTTAGATTGTGATTAATCTTTTGTGTGTGTGGGTAGGGCCTATGCTGTTGATCACCACAACATTTAATTACCATTACTCAGTAGTAACTTTGCTGGTGGTATTGTAAAATGGTTCAGCCACTTCAAAAACAATTCAACATGTCCTCAAAATATTAAACATGGACTTAATCATATGACCCAGCAATTCCCCTCCTAGATACCTACCCAAGAGAAGTGAAAACATACGTCTACACAAAACTTGTACACAATGTTCATAGCAGCATTATTCATAATAGCCAAACATGCAGACAGCCCAAATGTCTATCAACTAATGGTGGATATACACAATGTGGTGTATCAGTAAGTGGAATATTACTCAGCAATAAAAACGAATGAAGTACTGATACGTGCTACAGTGTGGATGAACCTTAAAAACATTATACTGAGTGAAGTAAGCCAGTCACAAAAGACTACATATTTTCTGATTGCATTTATCTGAAATGTTTAGGATAGGCAAATCCAGAGAGAGAGAAGGTAGACGAGCAGTTGCCAGGATCTGTGGGGAAGGGGAATGGGGGTGGCAGCTAAAGGATATGGGGCTTTTTGCAGGTATGATGAAAATTTTTTAAAATTATACAGTGGTGATAGTTTTATGATTCTGAACAAACCAATTATTATTAAATTGTACAGTTTCCAAAGGTGGGTTTTTTTTTTCACATCTCAGTGAAGTTGTTTGTTTAATAAGAGGTAGCTCTGTGATTCCTGTCTGTTTTTAGTTCCTCTGAAAGGTTTCTGAGGATAAATCTTGTGTAATCTTTATATTTCCATCTCAAACACTATGCCTTATCTATAGTAGATGCTTAATAGATGTTGCAGCATGAGTGAGTCTTTATGAAACAAGCTATTAGAGGTTCAGGTGGGGAAAAAAACTGCTGTAAAAACTTCAAGTTAAATTATACTAACAAAGTACATCAGCTATTTAAGTTTTTGTGCCGGAGAACAGTGACTTTAGGAATGAGAATTTACTGAGTTATCTGTCTCTTTTCTGTCCTAGGATACACACCTGCTAAAACTGCTTAAAACATTAGAAGGACATGCTTATGGTGTTTCTTATATTGCATGGAGTCCAGATGACAACTATCTTGTTGCTTGTGGCCCAGATGACTGTTCTGAGCTTTGGCTTTGGAATGTACAAGTGAGCAAGTTCCATCCTTGGATTAGCCTTTAATTAAGCATAGTTACACTGCATGTATTCATTATGACTCTATTCCTCTTCTTCAGTTGAACAGAGCCATTTAACCTAAGTTAGTATAACATAGCTCTTATAAAAGATAATTCATATGGATCACAAGTGTCCTGATTAATATATTTAAATATTATACTGAGCATAATAGTATTTTTGAAAGATCAATATAAATATTTTTGAGAATGTTTTACAGTGTATGTGCAGTTTGCTTTTCAAGTGTGAAAACACTGGTGTCAAACCAAATTTTCTATTTTAATGGTGATAGCGCCATCTCCCTACTATATTTAATATTTTATTGTGAACTAGTTAGGTAAAGCCATGTGGTATTTTGAGTACTTATTATTAGGGGCTTTATTACTGTTTGTAAATGAAAATTTGAATTTTGTTCAGGGTCTCATTTTAGAAAAACTCAACATTACATTCATGTCATTATTTACAGGCCATGTTTTGGAGGCTCTTTAGTTACCATTTAAAAACAAACAAACCCCCCCACCCCCAAAAAAAAAAAGAAAGAAAAACTTACATAAGCTGAGAATTTAAATAACACTCTTTTTTGTTGTTGTTTTCTTTAATCCCTAGGCAAAAGAAAATAGGCCAGGCTATGGGTTAGGTCTAAAGGTATAATTTGATGGGTAGAATTTTGAGTGCAGAGATCAATAAGTAAGTTTGTTTTTACCAAGAGTGTGAAGATAAAACTCCACAGAGATTATTGAAATAATAAAGATGGTATAGAGGACAGAATGAATACTAAGAAGTACCTGAAGATGATAAGCCATAACTCTAATTCTCCTATTTTAACATTAACATCTTACCTGCTTAGTTATTTCCTTATGTTTCAACCCTAGCCTTTCAAGAAAATTTTCAACAGTATTGAACAGTTGTCAAATCTATTCTTAGATTTTTGTTATATTGTGTTATAAGCATACATACATACTTGTATATCTATATTCAAAGCATTTGAAAGTAAATTCTAAACATTTTACATAGGCATTCTCCTAGAAAATGACATTCTACATAATCAAATATGTCTAGTAATAACTATAACTCTCTAATATTTTCTGATACCAATTTCATAATAAAAAATTCCCAGATTTAAAAAAATACATATCCCTTTTACACTATTTTTATCAAGCCAGAGTTCAAGATTCATATTGTATTTATAGTTGTGTTCAGGGCAGTAGCAATGTACAGAATAGAATAAATACATGGCTTTCTCTCAGTAAAACAGAACTTGAAGTGAATTCAACCTAAACAACCAAAGAATTTTTTTCCCATTAAAAGCTTTTTCTCCCTTCTCAGAGAGAGGATACATGTAATCTGAATCCTGTAATTCCGGAATCAAACCCACTGCCATCAAATTTCTGACTCAGGAACAGCATAGAACTGAGTAGAACTGCCCCATAGGGTTTCCAAGGCTGTAAATCTTTACTGAAGCAGACTGCCTCATCTTTCTCTCACGGAGTGGCTATTGGGTTTGAACCACTGACATTTTGGTTAGGAGCCAAATGCCTTAGCCGCTACATACCCAGAGCTCCTGTCAAATCTTGTAATAGCATCTCTTTATACTCTCTGTGTATTTCTCCTCTGAGTGAAATAATTTCTGGAGAATTAAACAATGTTCTAGCATAAATTTTTACTGTGTATTACTTTATATTTAAACTTTTGTTCTTAGAGGGTGGTGGCCTTTTATTCCAATTTCAATTGTTTGTGTTTTTAGGTTGGTTTCTAATAATCTATTAACCTTATTTACTCACTATACTGAGCGTAACAAGAAATTACCATTGCCTTCATAATTTAATGGGTTAACATATTTGTGAATAGAAAATGATTCTGAGATTCTGGCTATTGCATGAATATTTGTGCTTCTAAATTTTTATTTTAATTGCTTCTATAAAACAACCCAAAAATGGTAAATTAGGTAAGAATAACCAACACTTTAGGCGATGGATTTTAGCTATTTTTTTTTTTCTTTCCGTATAAGGGAGACATCTAGTTTCTATTTTTGTGCCCTCTTTGGTTTTACTACTTGCCCTCATTTCCTAATTATACCCTTTGTTTTCACTCTTATTTTTACTTTTGATTACCCATTTCTCACAGGAAGTTATGCCCATGTACTTTTTATTATACCAGGGCAGCTATTATCTCTCAGATCCTGTTTCTAATCCATGAACAAAATGGAATCAAGACTAGATTAAATGGTATGTGTCTACCTTCTAAGTTGAATAACTTAGAAAACATTAACAGGAGGATATCTGAGGGTTGTAACCACTAAATAGCCTTGCTTAGCTGGGAGTGCTTTAGAATGGCTATGCTAAAACAGTACAAAGTTCCTTTTTGTTCTCTGTTACTTTCGAAATAAAGTTACATAATAAAAATAATTTTCAGTTTTCTCTTCCCATCTTCCCTACTGTAGTTTGAGCATCTTGAATATGAAACTTAACATAATTTAGGCTACCTAGACTCTTGGCTTAGTTTAAGAATGTAGCTTTTCTACTCATTAATTGTTTTTGAGGAATTGCTCTTGGATTAGCTGCATTTTTAGAATAAAATTTATAAAGAACTAAGTCGTCATCTTGCTTAAGAAAAATGACATGTTAGTTTCATTTATGAATGTAATGGATTTAAGACAATGGTTTTATTGTAGTTTATGTGATCATTTCTGTTTTTGGGTTACCTATGGCCAGGTATTGTTCAACCCCTGGGGTTTATCTAAAGTCCTTACTTTTTTTTTTTGAGTGCTAGAGTGTTTTTATAAAGCCAGTTTAAATGATTCATTTCTGTAATTAGGAATACCAAGCTAACCAGGTATCCAGTTCTTCTTACTTTCTTTTTTTACTTATACGTAACTTTTAGAGTGGTATCTAGACAGTCTTATCACAGTTTTATTTCTTTATAGACGGGAGAGCTAAGGACAAAAATGAGCCAATCTCATGAAGATAGTTTAACAAGTGTGGCTTGGAATCCAGATGGGAAACGCTTTGTGACTGGAGGTCAACGTGGGCAGTTCTATCAGTGTGTAAGTGCCCCTTTCTAAGTGTCTGCTGATTTAAAGGCAAACTTAGTTTTTGTTGAAATATTTAATTCACTTGACTTAGGATCTCGCTATGAGTTGGGTCCGATTTGACGGCACGTAACAACAACAACATACGAAGACCTACTTTGCCATCTTTCTAGATAATGCACTGTCTGATAGAACTTTCTGTGATGATGAAAATGTTCTATAGCTGCACTGTCCCATATAGTAGCCACTAGCCATGTGTGACTGAGGAGCACTTGAAATGTGGCTAGTGTGACTAAGTAACTGAATTTTCACTTAATTTAAATTTAAAAATTTAAACAGCCATATAGGGCTACTGGCTACTCTATTGGATATTACAGTCCTAGAGCAAACTTCAGTCAAAAGAGAATTTTTTTTTAAAATGTACTCATGAAACAAGATCAAGAAAATTTAAGCTGTCTTTTCTTTTTTCCTGCCCTATTCTCACCATTTCAAGTGTTACACGCAGTATAGACCTTGAGTTTCGTTAAGTTGAAAAAAAATTGTTTGCTATACTTTTTTTGTTCTCCTATGTAAGTTTTTAATTTATAGCAGTGAAAAGATGTAGTATTTAATTTCTTTGGAGTTTTTTAGTCCTTTGAATTTTATGTGTTTTTTTAAAAATGCTGAACATGAGGAGTAGACTGTCATAAATATTTGAGGAGTAAAGATAGTGATGAGTGCTCTCAGAGAACTTTTCACTCTTTATTCATCTTCTGATCAATACCTGCTCTGTTATTTTGGATTGTTAGAGTGACAAAAAGAGTAATAGGTAAAAAGTCTTAGGACATGCTACACTATGATACAGATGCCATACCATTACCGTTCTGTCTGGATTCTGTATTTCATATGAATGCCCACCAGGTTCAAGACACATGGGTCCAAGTAGACATTCCTATGTTTATTTTAAAGACTTTTTCTGTAGCTATTACAAATGATCGATTTATTAAGCTAGCCATGAAACAATGGAATCTAATGTCCTATTATCTTGGCATAGTGATAGCCGTTAGTTTTTAATTCTCTGAATGCAAGAAAAACATATATACTTCTGCTATCTATGCTAACCCATACATTGTTTAAACTTTAAGATACGAGAGAGACTTCTTCGAAGTCCCTCATCTATGAAATGGGGCTAATAATGCCCCTTGGGTGTTTGAATATTTTATGAGATATGATGACTGTGTAAGAGCTTTGGTCTATAGAGCATGTTACAAACTTAAGTTTTTTGAAACATTGTAGAATCCTACCACCACTTGTCTGTCAGTTTGTTGTACTGTGGTGGCTTGCATGTTGCTGTGAGGCTAGAGGGTATGCACCAGCCTTAAGGGAAGGCTTTCTCTCTTTGTGTCTACCGACCTTACGAGGCTCCTAGCACAAGGAGCCTTGGTCCACAGAATGCACTGTGCTCTCGGCTTTTCTTTCTCAGTGGTGGTAGGACCCTCTTGGGCTGCTTGCTTTTGTCTCCTTTTATCTCTTGTAAGTTCTTGGAGTTCTGTTTAAAGCTGTAATTAACATTTTAAGTAATCTTACTCCATATCACAACTTCTGAATATTTTGAGACAAATCCAGTATAGTGAACTTTAAAGGAATATTTGAATTATTTTCCAATACAAGTGAGATTTTTACTTGGAACTTAGGACTTTTTCCTTTCTTTGTATTTACTTCACCTATTTGTGCAGGTTATTGAAGATAGATTTTAAAAAATCCCCCTACTATGTAGGAGATCCTGCATAGAGAGGGAGAACAATGTGGAACAAAACTCAAAATCATTTGGAGGCAAAAAAAAAAGAAGGTGGGGACCAGGTTTGCTGGTCCAATAGAGCCTGGTGTAACCACTGAGACTATGGCCCCTAGCTGCCCTTCAGGTCTGGAATTGAACCCACAACTGTGGTTTCCAAGCCAAACAAAGTACAGGCATGTGAGTTAAACATTTACCTCAAGTAGACACACGCCCTGGAGAGAACAATCATGGGAGAAGGAAGGGCTGCTTATGCATAGGGAGATAGCTCAGGGTGCAGAAGAGTATGAAGGGATGGACACTGGGAGGAGGTAACTATGGGGAGGAAGTGGGAGGGGAGCTGCTGCATTGTAAATTTTGGTCAATGACATGAGACAAAGTATATGTGAACTGCTGTATGAAAAGTGAATTTACTTTGTAAATCTTCACCCATTTCCTAATTAAAAAAAAAAAAAAAAATCCCCCTACTTCTGTCCCCTTAGGTGTTGTTGTAATAAGAGTTGACCTATATTCACATTCTTAAAATCAAAAACATACTGGAATAATTAGGTTGACATCAGTCTCAGGAAAAACAAACTGTTACTAACAGATATTGCTAAGAGATTTTTCTGGTGTTTGGTTTGTTTTCTAAATGTTGTTCAATACAGTTAATAGCAATTTTTTTCTTCATCAGGATTTAGACGGTAATCTCCTTGACTCCTGGGAAGGGGTGAGAGTGCAATGCCTTTGGTGCTTGAGTGACGGGAAGACAGTTCTGGCATCAGATACACACCAGCGAATTCGGGGATATAACTTCGAGGACCTTACAGATAGGAACATGTAACTATTTTTGTTTTCATTAAACAATGAATATCTGATTTATATGAAAATGTTTAGTGGAGCTTGTTCAGAAAAACAGTTTGTGTTTTGTTTTTGTTTTTTGGTTTGTTTGGTAGTTTGGATTATGGATTGTGTAGTCAAGTGGTACTTAGTAATCATTAACTCACATTTTTCTTGATTGAAATATTCACTCAGGCAAAATTATGGTATAGAACATAATTAGGTAGAGCATTTCATGTTTTAATAACTTGAATGCCTTGATTTTTAGTACATTGCTATTATCTTTTGGTTACAGAGTACAAGAAGATCATCCTATTATGTCTTTTACTATTTCAAAAAATGGCCGATTAGCTTTGTTAAATGTAGCAACTCAGGTAAGTTTATTACTATAATTTACAGAAAAATTATTTAAATTTTATCTTAATGATTTTTAGTGTATATGTTCATAAACAAGATTTCTATTCTTATATTTTATTGCATGTGTTTGATCCTCAAATGTGTAGAATTAACCACAAATAGAACATTGGCTTTTTGCATAAATAGAAAAAGAAAAGGTTCAGATTACATTTACAGATTCTTGGAGTTGAGGTAGAGTAAGTACCTATGCTCTTTTCTTGTCTGCAGGGAGTTCATTTATGGGATTTGCAAGACAGAGTTTTAGTAAGAAAATATCAAGGTGTCACACAAGGGTTTTATACAATTCATTCGTGTTTTGGAGGCCATAATGAAGACTTCATCGCTAGTGGCAGTGAAGGTAGGTGTTGTTTTGCTATCACGTATACTGATGATTTTAAGCTCTGTATTTCTTCAATTTATGAAGATAGGCATATCTCAAGGCTAATTGTGGACGTTACATTAAAATTTCTCTGTGTTATTTATCCAAAACACTGTAATTTCCCCTTTTTTTGAATGACTTGAGCCCTCCTCACTGTCATGAATAGTGCCCTTTTTGGCCATGTGGAGGTGTGCTTGGTGAATCTATCAAATCAAGATTGAGATGAATCATACTTTTTTGTATGAGACTGGTGATTTTCAGAGGTTGATTGGTAAATTATGATGTTCTATGTGAACCTGGACAGAATTAATTATAGTTACATCTTCAGTATTTCTTCAATGGCCATATAGTATAATTCAGTTTGATCATTTTTAAGGTTTCAGAAAAGCTGAAATTATCTTTTGGAATAAACTTACTCTCCAGTGTGAAAACATCTGTAATTTAGGCAGGCATATGCCTGAAATGTTTGCTCTATTTTAAAATACGAATTATTCAAAATATGCAACACAAATAAGTGAGGCAATATAAAAATATAGTGTAGTTTTTAAGATGATAAAAACAAAATGATGGCAAATTATTGCAATTTTCATTCAACACATTTTTCTTGAATGCTTGCTGTGTACTGCTGCAGCAAATTAAGTCATTTAAAACTTAAAACTCAAGTCCAACTTTATAAGCTGTATCAAGGAATTATGTATTATGTTGGTAAACTCATTTAGTTATGTTCCTTTTATTGTATAAGATGTGTACTATCCCTCGTTTTGGTTACTGTGTACTGCTCTAATAGAAAATGTCACAAATGGGATGGCTTGAACAAACAAGAGTTTATTCTCTTCCAGTTTGGGAGATTACAAGTCTTGAGTTCAAAGTGCCAGGCTCTAGGGACTGGGTCAAAGCCCTTCAGCCTTAGGCTTCAGTTTCGCCTCTTGCTCCCTGCGTACTGAAGCTGGAGGCTTTTCTTTACTCAAGCAGCTGCTGGCTGTTGAGGCTGACAAACCCAAGGTCAACAAGTAAAAAGGCACAGTCCCAATATTACCAAACAACACTGTTGTTGTTAGGTGCCATTGAGTTGTCTCTGATTCAGCAACCCTATATGCACAGCAGAACGAAACACTGCCTGGTCCCAGCCACCTCCATGATCCTTGCTATACATGAGCCCATTGTTGCAGCCACTGTGTCAGTCCATCTCGTTGAGAGCCTTCCCCTTGTTTTGTTATTCCTCCACCTTACCAAGCATAATATCTTTCTCCAGGGAATGATTTCTTCTTACAACATGACCAAAGTAGGTGAGATGAAGTCTGGCCATTCTCACTTCCAAGGCATATTCCAGCTGCACTTTTTCCAGGACAAATTTGTTAGTTCTTTTAGCAGTCCATGGTACTTCAGCATTCTTCACTAGCACCACAACTCAAAAGCATCGACTCTTCTTTGGTCTTCTTTATTCATTGTCCAGCTCGCACATGCATATGAGGCGATTGAGCATGCCATAGCTTGTGTCACATGCACCTTAGTCAACACATCTTTGCTCTTCAGTACTTGAAAGAGGTCTTTTGCAGCCAGTTTGCC